GGCATAAGGAGAGATTCTGAGGAGCTGGTAACACTCTCTCCCTTGATCTGGGTGTCGGGGACATGAGTGCACCCCCTTCATAATTTTATGCTTTGTGCACTTCTCTATATGTATACTATATTTCAATAAAAATGCTAGAATACTTTTAGAAGGAATAAATCAAGACAGTGGTGCAGGGAGGAGAGACAGGAAGCATGGATCAGACTGAATGTATCTGCAGGTTGCATCCTGTGCACCAGCTGGGACACCTGAGACGGGAGCAGGGGTGACTTAAGCCGTTGACACTCTGGACTGGTTTCTCACCCTTAAGGGTCACCCTTGCTTCCCAAGCCACACAGGAAGAATGCCCATCCTACCCACCCCCATAGCTGCCTTGCCTGGAGATGGCTGGTGAGCCACATCTCCATTCATCCTGCCTCTCAGCCAGATTCTGCTGAGTTCAAATGCTGGAGAAACAGGCATATCCTGCCACTCGGATGATAAAGTGACACCCAGAAACCTCACCCTCGTTTATGATTCATCTTACTTCACCAAGCATACCCAGAGGACCATAATGGAAAGGGCAGGCAGAGTTCTGCTTCCAAAAAAGCCTTCCTAGAATCTGGATCTCCCCAAGTCTGCCTCCCAGCCCCGAGCAACTCCATGGGGGAAACCCAAAGGCAGCAAACTCAACTGGCAGCAACCCAAGTGCCCTTGAGCCCCGCCAACAGAGGGGTGGTGGTTAGTAGTGAGACTGCCTGGGCTCCACCCCTCTGCCTGGTCCCGATATCTTGGTTTTATTTTTTATTTTCACTCTTTTCTTTCCTGAGCACCAATGGAAGACACACATGCCTCCTACATAAAGCAGCACTAACCAAACAAATGCTCATCATATGCATTTATTTGCACAGACACTCATAAACACTTTACTAGACACCCAGTAATTACAGGAAGGGGCAAACCTCCAATTCTGTAGATCCCAAGCATTTTGAAGTGCATTTAAGATAAAGATCAAATAGAATGGGTGCTGGCCCCTGCATCACACGCAGCCCCCTTCCCCCGCCATGGACCCTCAGGGTAGAGACCAATGAACTTCCTTGCTTTTGTGAATTTGTGTCCAATTCATATAAAATGTCTTTCTGTAAGTTATTCTTAGTTTCCTAATGGGACTTTTATGGTTCCAAATACAGTCCTGGGCCTTTTCTTTGTTCTGGCTCAGGTCCTTGGGAGGGGAAGCCCCTGGTTCTAGCTGGGCTGCTGAAATAACCCAACCCATCCATTTGGTAAGAAATGCAAAGATTCTTGAGCTTTTAAAAAAATAAATATAAGAAAAGATTTTAAAGATTTTCGAGCTGTTAAAAAAATAAAGATAAACAGCACCTTGACGGTCCCACCCCGTCAGTTTTGATGCATTGGGCCTGACGCTCCTAATTCTGTTGTCTCCCAAAACTTGCCTAGGCTCCAGGCTCCACAGCCAGGGCGCATGCAGAAGGCAGGGGCTGTCTGGGTGGGTGTCTGGCACTGCCTGCATGGGTGAGGTCGGGGGTGGGGGTTCTCCTGTGCCCGGCCCACAGGTGCCTGGATCTGAGTTTCACCTGCCCTAAAAGAAGACAGTTGGCTGAGCTCAGGCCCTGGTAGGAGGAAGAGGAGGAGGCAGCTGTGACCTCCCCAGCCCTGGGGACTCCCTTTGATCCAAGTATTCACCAAACATTTATAGAGGCCTACTATGTGCCAGTCACTGTGGAGAGCACTTAGGAGCCATCCTCTCTAACAGCCTTGTGGGCTGAGTGGTATTGTTATGCACACTTCACAGATCAGGAAGCTGAGGTACAGAGGGCGGACTTGCGGAGACCCCACAGGCAGATCCTGAACCAGATGTGGGTGATCCCCTGAGATCTGCTCTTGAACCCTCTGAACCACTGCCTGGCCAGTGGAAGACTTAGCCCTGGGCACCTGGCCAGGGCACTGTCCCTCCCCAGCCCTGAGGGCAGATAGCAGCCTTTGGATCCCAGCGCATCTCATCTCCTGACCGACCAGGAAGGAATCTCATAACAAATGGCCCAGACCTTGTATTGAACAGTCATGAGTCTGTGGCCGGAGGACCCCTGCCCCCACCCCATCAGCTAGTTGAAGAAGGGGCTGGGCTGCAGGAAGGACAGGACTTGGCTGGGGCTGGAAATCCCTGCGTCGCACCCTCGCACACAGCCTCAGAGATATACTCCGTCTCACCAACAAACTGACGTGAGTCCTGTCCCCTGCCACCTCTCTCAGGAGCCTAGAAACCCCAGATGGGAGATTGAGAACCCGCTCCTGGCCCCCAGTCCAAAGGACCCAGCTTGGATCTCTGCCTGGTCGGTCCTCTTTTCCACCACGGTTATTGTCTCTGCAAGCCCTCCACAGGCACAAGACCACAGACACTTTCCCTGGGCTGTGGGAAGGCGGCCAGGTGACTTATCACACACATCCATCTCTCTGCTGGCTGAGAAGGGGCCTAAGCCTTTGAACTATGTGTCCTGGGGTCAAGCACAGCTAGGAACCATCGACCCGAACATGGTCACCAGCAGCTCAGAATGAAGGTTCAGGTACTCAACGTCTGCCGGTGCTGTCTGGCTGCACTTCCAGAGCTCCCAGGTGTCGGAATCCCGGCCTGCATCCCAGGAATGGCAGCCCCCAATCCAGCCCACAGCTTGGGGCGGCTCTGGTCCAGTCTGCCTGCCTCCCGCTATCTGAAGATGGCCCAGGCCAGTGGCACTGGGGGAAGCTGAGGCAGGTCTGGCTCTCAGGGCGGCGTGTAATTGCGGGTCCTGCAGCCCTTGGTCTGTGCCTTCGGCTCCTCCGCACCCGGCGGGCTAGAGCTGGGCCTGGTACTCCACCCCCGCCGGGGATCCTCGCCTCCACCTTGGGCTGTAAACAGGGAGGGGACCTTGTTTCAGCTCTGGTCAGAAGCATAGTCCTGCAGAGAACAGACAGGACCCCACAGTGGGCACGGGTCTTGGGGTTGTGCTCATGGGAGGCCAGTAGCACAGGCAGGCGCAGGGGTGCACGGCCCTAAGGACAGGAGCAAAGGGGTATAGAGAAAGGTTCGTGGAAATGGGGTTTCCGCAGGATTATGGGGAGCTAATACACCCGCCTAGAGCTTCCCTCTCGGTGCTTGCTTCTTCCCAAACAATTCTGAATGGCCGGCTTGGTCTTTCCTCAGGTGGAGAAAAGCTGAGGCTGTTTCTGCCGCTGATCCGCACCAGAGAGAATCCTGGATCCGCCGGTGCGTGCGGGTGCCACCGGCCGTCGGGGTTTGGGGTCCAGGGCTGCACGTATCTGATCTCAGGGCTCCGATCGAGGCCAGCAAAGTGCCTCTGGCCGCCTCCTGGAAGTACCCGGCTCTGGGCTTAGGCCCGCGTCCTACCGTGCAGTCGGCTTCTTCCGCGGGGGGTAAGGGATGCGGTGGGAGGCCCAGAAGCCACGGCTGTGCTCGAGACCCAAGGCCTCTGCGCGTCTGTACGAAGGACCCGGGACCGCTCACTCCTCTGGGGGAGCGAGGGGCCGTGCAGCGGCGACAAAGGACAAGGACCAGGACCTATAGGGTAATCCGGAGCGAGGGAGGGAGTGCGGGTACGGATGGACAGTGAGCGGGGAGGACCCGGAGAGGGACTCCAGGTTTGTGGTCTGGGTAGCCCGACTCCCAGACTAGAAAGAGAAGCCCGCTGCTGGGTCTGGCCCCTCACGTCGGCCCTCTCGATGTGAGCTCTGGTGGTGTGGGCTTTGACACGGGCAGGAGCACCGGGGCGATGTGCCAAGCTTCTCTGCGGCCCTGGAAACACGACCCTGGGCACAGTCGGTGGCCCTTGCTTGGCTCTGGACGCCAGCGCGGGGACAGAGAAGCCTCGGAGGCCAGGCTACAGGGGCCCCGTTCAGCCAAAGGGATAAATGTGGAGAGGAAGAGGCCCGGCACAGGGAAGTAGGGAGTGGGAGACAGAGGAGGAGAACGGAACGCTGCACCGAAAGTTTGGGGTCCTAGACGAGTCTGCAGAGCAATGACAGGAGAGGATTCCCTACTGCGCTCGGAAGAAGGCGAGAGTCTGGGCCTGGAACCAGGACCCTCTCGCCTACAGAAGCTGGTGCAGAGGCGCAGCGATGCCAGCAGAGGGCAGAATGCACCCGGTGGGTCTGCCAGCCCCGCGCCGGCTCTGCGCCTCCCGGCTCTGCACGCCTGAACCTTACCGCTCGGCTTCTCCCGGCAACTGCCGCGCCCCCGCCCCAGATGCCCGGACAAGGCGGCCCAGGCCCAGGTCCTACCTCGGGAACTCACGGCCTGGGGTTTCCAGGCTGCGCAAGGCCAGGGGACAAAGGGCGTCTGAGAGAAACTCCATTTCCACTCATCCACCGTCCTAGATACAGACACAACAAAGACACGAGAAATACATGCAGACACAAAGCCACACACACAAACCCAAAAACTCCGAACGACATGCGAGCACACAGAATCATTCAGAAATACACACAGATACACAAAGGTGACACGAAGACGCGCATAAGCAGAAAAAGATTCCAGCCACAGAGACTGAGAGGCACACAAAGACCTGTGCCCCCGCATAGAATGACACAGACACAGGGGTACACACAAAGACCTACAAAAGCACAGAAGATCCAGAGGCATGGCAGGACCTGCAGATTCGCACCCAGACATATATGCCTGCAGGGGAATCGACACAGATTCAGACGCTGCTCTGCTCGGAGCCCAGATAGTCGCAGAGACACAGAAATATTGTTTGTGCACAGAGACACGGGTGCACAGGCACGCAAGAACCTCAGAGGCGGGAGCATCGACACGCACAGGCACACATAGATACTCACCAACACACACGCAGGTACTGGGGTGGGGCGGGAGCCTCTAATCCTCCACAAAGCCGGGCCCCTGCGCGGGGCCCCGCGGCACAGGGGGCCACTTCTGACCAAGCCTCCCGCAGGCTCCAAATCCGATCCGCCCTCTCGCCTATGGTGTGGGCTTTGACACGGGTAGGAGCACCGGGGCGATGTGCCAAGCTTCTCTGCGGCCCTGGAAACACGACCCTGGGCACAGTCGGTGGCCCTTGCTTGGCTCTGGACGCCAGCGCGGGGACAGAGAAGCCTCGGAGGCCAGGCTACAGGGGCCCCGTTCAGCCAAAGGGATAAATGTGGAGAGGAAGAGGCCCGGCACAGGGAAGTAGGGAGTGGGAGACAGAGGAGGAGAACGGAACGCTGCACCGAAAGTTTGGGGTCCTAGACGAGTCTGCAGAGCAATGACAGGAGAGGATTCCCTACTGCGCTCGGAAGAAGGCGAGAGTCTGGGCCTGGAACCAGGACCCTCTCGCCTACAGAAGCTGGTGCAGAGGCGCAGCGATGCCAGCAGAGGGCAGAATGCACCCGGTGGGTCTGCCAGCCCCGCGCCGGCTCAGCGCCTCCCGGCTCTGCACGCCTGAACCTTACCCGCTCGGCTTCTCCCGGCAACTGCCGCGCCCCCGCCCCAGATGCCCGGACAAGGCGGCCCAGGCCCAGGTCCTACCTCGGGAACTCACGGCCTGGGGTTTCCAGGCTGCGCAAGGCCAGGGGACAAAGGGCGTCTGAGAGAAACTCCATTTCCACTCATCCACCGTCCTAGATACAGACACAACAAAGACACGAGAAATACATGCAGACACAAAGCCACACACACAAACCCAAAAACTCCGAACGACATGCGAGCACACAGAATCATTCAGAAATACACACAGATACACAAAGGTGACACGAAGACGCGCATAAGCAGAAAAAGATTCCAGCCACAGAGACTGAGAGGCACACAAAGACCTGTGCCCCCGCATAGAATGACACAGACACAGGGGTACACACAAAGACCTACAAAAGCACAGAAGATCCAGAGGCATGGCAGGACCTGCAGATTCGCACCCAGACATATATGCCTGCAGGGGAATCGACACAGATTCAGACGCTGCTCTGCTCGGAGCCCAGATAGTCGCAGAGACACAGAAATATTGTTTGTGCACAGAGACACGGGTGCACAGGCACGCAAGAACCTCAGAGGCGGGAGCATCGACACGCACAGGCACACATAGATACTCACCAACACACACGCAGGTACTGGGGTGGGGCGGGAGCCTCTAATCCTCCACAAAGCCGGGCCCCTGCGCGGGGCCCCGCGGCACAGGGGGCCACTTCTGACCAAGCCTCCCGTAGGCTCCAAATCCGATCCGCCCTCTCGCCTCTAGCGGGGTCAGGGGACCCGCCTCCCGTGCCCTCCGCCCCCTCCCCGCTCCGCGCCGCTGCCCCGCTCCCGGAGGGGCCGGGTTGCCCCGCAGAGGCTGGCGGGGGCAGCCACCGCCTGTCCCGGGGACGCATCAGCCCTCCTGCTCCAGGGCGAGCCGCGCCTCCGTGGGGATCCAGGAGTCCGAAGACACAGACGGTCCGGGAGCGGTGCACTGCAGCCCGACGCAGCGGCCTGGGCGCCGAGCGCGGTACCAAGGCCAGGTGGGTACCTGCCGCGGCAGATGCCGGAGTCGGCCTCTCGGTCTCGCTGGCCTTTAGCTCCCCAGTGCCGAGGCGCACTTTGCCCAGACTAGCCAGGGTGCTGTCCCTGCAAGCGCGGCCTATCGACCCCTGGAGGGGTCCCTCCGCCTCCAAAGGTAGCCTATCCCAGCGGCCAGCCCGCTTTCCTTCAAGCAGCCTAATTCTTGTCTTCGGGAGTCTTCAGTCCTGGACGCCGGGGCCCCCAACCCCTACCACTGCCTCTCACTCCAAATCCGGCCAGGCCAGGTTCTCGGCGACTGACCCCCACCGCTGCCCAAGAACACCTTTCCCAGATCTAATGGTCCTCTAACCTCTCCGGCCTTTTGAACCCGTGCCTGACCTTCCTCGCACGCCCAATACCCCCCATCCTTGATCCCAGGGCCCTCCAGGATCTTCGCTCAACTTACTCAATCTCTTCCCCTCCTAAGGATTCCTGGAGCCCTCACCCCAAATCCGGGGCCCATCCCTCCCTCCTTCCCTGGGCCAGGGTCCCCTTTGGCAAATCCTGGGCAAGCAGCCTTCCGCGCCTGCCGGTCCCTGTCTTCACCCCTGGCAGCTAGCCCTCTCCGCGGACCAAACCAGCCCCGGAAGGCGCCGCCGCCTGGGGAACGCCAACTCAGCCCGGGGCGACCTACCTCGGCCGATAGTCGGGGTTCCCGGGCCGCCTCTCCCGGCCGGCGCCGTCCCCTGGTGGAGCCGCTGCGCTCCCCGCGGTCCGCTCAGTCTGGTCTCGCTCGGGCCACTCCTCTTAGCGCTGAAGCTTTACAAAATATTAATAATAAAGAAGGCAAGAAAGAAAAAAAACCTTCATTCCCCAACTCCCAAATCAATTTTTCAAAGGGGTGTGGCGGAAAGATTTGTTTCGAAGCCTACTCAAACTTCGGCGAGGGGCCAGCGGGGAGCTCGGCCTGGCCGGGGCGCCCGGTCCGCGCTNCCGCCCGGGCCCGCCCTCACGACGCCGGGGCCCGGGGCCAGCGCGTCGCCCCTCCGCGCTCGCCTGGGACACGCCGGCGGCCCCAGCCACAGCCCCATCCCCGTGGGAGCCGCACCTCCCCGGCTCCCGGCCCGTCTCGGCGGCGGTGAGCGGGCAGGCGGGCGGGCAAGCATCCTGGCCGGCGGGGCCCGCAGCGTGCCCCGCGTCTCATGGATATAGCAACAGGTCCCGAGTCGCTGGATAGGTGCTTTCCCCGCGGGCAGACGGACTGCGCTAAGATGTTGGACGGCATCAAGATGGAGGAGCACGCCCTGCGCCCCGGACCCGCCACTCTGGGGGTGCTGCTGGGTGAGTGCAGGGTCGCAACGCCCAAGTGGCCATGGGCAGGGGACAGGGACGTCCTCCGGAGGTGGACACAGGCGTCCAAACGAACGGATAAAGGAAATGGTTTGCAGGACGTGGGGGTGCGGGGCATAGAGAAAAGACTCGGAATGATTACTGGGGGTGGGGGGCAACAGGCATCCTGAGGCGACGGCGGTATGCAGGGACACCACGTAGGAAGAGGGAGGACAGGACAGCTCCAGCTGTCACCTCCATCCTCCCCGGGCCTCGGTTCTAGAGCTGCCACTCCAGGAAGGGGTAAAAAACTGGGTGGCAAGGGTGATAGAGGACCCAAGTAGTCACCTTGGCAAGCTTGGGAGTGGTGCCAGGTCACTTTGTGAGGGTGAGCTTCTAAGAGAAAAATGCCCTCTGGGCCACCCAGCACACAGGTTTTGGGGAGATTGGGGACCGAAGACCACGAACGCCACTGTGGGGCGTGTCAGCCAGCGAGCGCCCCAGCCTCACCTTGCCTGTCTCGGTCCCAGCCGGCTACCCCGCGCGGTGCTCGTTCCCATATATATTAACGCCAAGCGGTGAATCTCCGGAGAAGGGGAGAGCGCAGAGCCGAGCCGAGGCTCGAGGCCCGCGGCCTCTCCGCCCCGGAGCCCGCGGACTGGGACAAACTAGCTAAGGCTGCCCGGCTCCTGGCGCGGTGGCCAGGGGAGCGCAGGCGGCGGGCGGCGCTCCCGGGCTGCCCTCGCCCGTAGGGCCGGGGCTGCGGGCACCGCGCGGCCGGGACACCGGGGCCGGGCTGGTCAGCGCTGACCGCCCGGCTCTCGCCCTGTGCGCTGCAGGCTCCGACTGCCCGCATCCCGCCGTCTGCGAGGGCTGCCAGCGACCCATCTCCGACCGCTTCCTGATGCGAGTCAACGAGTCGTCCTGGCACGAGGAGTGTTTGCAGTGCGCGGCGTGTCAGCAAGCCCTCACCACCAGCTGCTACTTCCGGGATCGGAAACTGTACTGCAAACAAGACTACCAACAGTAAGCGCCTCTCGTCCTCCGTCTTCCCCGCCGCCCGGCGCTCGAGCCCGGCCGCCCCCCACTGCCAGACCCGGCTCGCGTCCGCCCTGCCGCCGGCTCCGAGGGCTCCGCGGTCTGAGCGTCTCCCGGCAGAGGCGAACCATCCCAGCCTGGCCGATACTGGTGGGGTGGCCGGGAGCCTCCAGCGGCCCCTAGTTGCCATTCTTTGTGCGGGAAAACTGCCCTAGTTGGAGTGTAGGACAAGGCCCCGGGCCAACGTGGGGATGCCACACCCGCATCCTGGGACAGGGGCTGACCCCACTGAGGCCTGAATGGGGACCAAGAAGTGACTTCCAAATAAAAGCAATGCTTAAGGGAGCCAGGCCCTGGCGATGTGCTTCTCCAGCTCAAAGGCAGGGTTTGGGATTCCTGGAACAAGGAGGTGGAGTAGGGGTGCTGAACGGCCTGAGCAGCCCAGATGCCCCCTTCCTGCCAGGCTCCTGGCTGCATTCTTGGTCCCTGATGGAGGGAAAAGGGTGTCAATCCTCCCCAAACCGTTCCATGCGGGAGTTTTGCACTTATAATTTTGGTCGGCTGGAGAAGCTGTCTGGGAAGAGGTGGCAAACCGCAATGCAGGGTTCCCCGTGGAGATGAGGTGCTGACCAAGTCACCCATCCCCAGCAGGCCTTCTTTCTTGCAGTGTGTATGCAACTGGGGAGCCGGTGGCCTGCTCTGCCCTGATGGAGCCCAAGCCTCGAGGTTAAGGCGGGAGACTGTGGGTTGAGCCCTACCTGGTGACTTTTGTTTTTAGCTGGGACTATGGATTCATCTGGCAAGGGGCCGGACAGAGAAGAATAGTTACAGATTTTTTTTTCTTTTGGCCCTCTGGGTTTTGTGCCTGGCACTGTGATTGGTAGAGAAGCAGAGAGGAATAACAGCCCAAAGAGGAGTGTGGGGATCCCCAGGGCAACATTTCAGAGACAAGTGCTGCCTGTGGGAACTTTCTAGTGAGGCCTGGAAAACCCTTTCATATGGGGATGCAGGGGGCTGCTGCTCAGGTAGTTTGGGGCTCAGAGGGGCGGTATGTGCCCACCAAGGCTCCTGGGAAAAGGCTGGGCTGCCAGTGCCTGGTGATGATTGTAGCCCAGGGACTGTCCCTAAATCCAGGCCCTGGTGGGAAGTGGAGTAGCTGTGTGCCCTCTCCTTACTTTTCCAACTGCTTGGCTGAGGACTAGAAATAGTGGGAGTGCAGGCCAGAGCCCTAGAAGAGGGTGTTGGATTCAGCTGTGAAAGGCCCTGGCTGAACCCCATGCTAACACCTAACCTGGCTGTGCGGCCCTGGACTGGGGGCCCAGCAGGAGCTGCTTTATGTGCCTTGCTCTTCCTGCTGGCTGAGGGGCTCTGTGCAGGCAGGAATAGGGGTCCAGTTCAGAGAGTCAGCTCTTGTGCTGGTCCCAGACCCCCACTGAAACCTCCCCCTCTGTCTGGAGCACCAGGGTAGGCACATTGCCATTGGTCAGGTTTGTGCTGTGCCCCGGACTGATACGATTCTCGTTCCAGGGGAAGGCAAGGCCACCATCAGCTGGGCCACAGGCAGGATTAAGCAGCATGAAGAAAATGAGGAAAATAGTTTGAGTAGACTTGGTCGGGGCTTTGGGGCTCACCAGCCTCCAGCCCACCTACATCTTGCCTATCTGTACCCCTCACTTTGCTCTGCCTGCCTGACTCGGAGCTCAGCTCTGGTAGTGCCATTTCCCACTCAGCTCAGCCAGTGGCCTGGACAATTTAACATATGGAGACAGGAGGGCCAGGAAACTGGAAATCAGTCTCCAAGTCATTTGTGCAGATTTTTGAAAAAAAAATTTTTACATACTGGAAGGACTCTTTCCGACCTCTCATACATACATATCTGCCCATTCTCTCCCACTCCTTGCCCCAAGCGTTTATGGAGCTTCTCTCTAAAACCAGGAGAGGATGCTCCTGGTTCTCCATAGCACAGAACCATAGTCACAAAACCTGAACTGGATATTCCCTTAAAGTAGAGCGGCCAAACCCCTGGTTTTTACAAAACAATTACATTTGCTACGGCTTTGTCGAAAGTATATTTGTTTAAAAAAGAAAAAAATAAGGCGCCTGACTTTAGTTCAGCTGGGAGGGGGTTTGCCAGTGAATTTTGGCCCTGGGCAAACCTCAGGTCCCAAGTCCCCAGTCTAGGTCCCACAGCCAGGGCTGCAGCCTCCAGGCAGGCATTAGGCCGCTCAAGGTGCCCTCCTCCCCCCTCACCTCTCTTTTTTCCAATAGGGCCAATTAGGTATCAGCACTGGGAGGACCAGTTTGGGGCTAAGGAAGGGTTGTTATCTATACACTCCTGGGGACAAATACCCCGATGGGTCACACTTCAGCATTTCCCAGGGCGAGCCTGCACAGCGAGGCAGGCAGGGGCTCCCTGGAAAACTGTGTTCTTTGCACAACAAAAAATATATTTCACGATTTATTTTTTCCTTTGAGGATCGGCAGATGCATATTTATCGCATCTGTGTATAATGCCTTTCAGACAAGAACCCAGGCAAGTGGACGCAAAAAACGTGGTTCCTCGGTTTTGTCCAGTCTGTGCGTCAGCGGTACTGGGAAATTAATAGCACCCACTCCTTCAGTAACTTTTGGAAAATGTGTCCTTGGCCAGCGAGGGGCTGTCGGGCTCGGTCCTTAGAAAGAGGTAGCTGTTTTCATTAAGTGTCTCTTCCTCCTTTCGATTTGTTTAAAAGATCCGGGACGCCCAGAAGCGCAACGTTATTTTACGCACCACAGGGGTGATTAATTGACTTTCGGGCGCATTTAATCACGTTTGATAAAGTCCACCCGCACGTCCCGGACGGGCAGAGCAGAGCGCGCGCCGGCCATAGCGTTTGGGCATTTTCACGCATAACTCGAAAAGTCGTCTTTTTTCCCATATGTATTTTTTAGGGTGTGGAGGGGCTCCTTCTTTTTAAAAAAGGAGAGAGAAAAAGCATCAGATCGCTCTCCTGTGCCAGCGGCTCTGGCCCCTTGGCAGCCCGAGCTCGTTCTCGGGCAGAAAACACGGTTGGAAACCGGGAGAAAAACTCGGCCTCCAAACACAAAATCACGAACACCTCTCTCCTTCCACCGGAGAACATACGAGAAAAAAAAAATGACAACCTAGTTCCCACCTCCCCCATTTTTTTCTTGGCGGCTCAGCCAAGTATAATTATGTAACTCTCTTTTCTTGCTGTCTGTCGCTCGTCTGGAAAGGGTTTCTGTCCTGAGGAGGTGGCGAATTCCTGGAGGAGGCTCCGGAAGTGGGGAGGGTCGGTGCGTGAGTCCAAAAATCTGTCACAAAATGGAGTCTGATCGCTTGTAAGACAGCTCCCAGGCCTGGCGACCCGACGCTCGTTGGGGTGCGAGCGGGAGCCTGCGTGCGCGAAGAGGCGCGGGGCTCCTACCCGGGCCGGGCTCCCACCTCGGCCTCCGGGGCCGGCGGCAACCTTCCGCCGGCCGAGCCTGCGTGGGGCGGCCTCGCCTCTCTGCAGGAGAGTTACAGGGCTCCGCGGAGCTTCCCCTTGGGCTCCCCTGCCCAGGTAGGATGCGCCCACCTTGGCAGAATGGGGGCATCGAGGCTTTGATTGAGTTTCACCAAAAGCTAAGTCCTGGGGTGATTTTTTTTTTTTTTTTTTTAATTTACCCCAGCTGGCTGCAGCTCCAGTGGCCCAGCCCGGCTCTTCCTGCACATTCCTTTCCTTGGAAGTGTTTACACCGGGAAAGGCCTTCCTGGGAGGCTCACCTTTCCTAAGAGTACCAGCACCCTTGGAGGGCGGCGTGTGGCCCAGGGGGAGAGTAAAGTCAGGCTCCAACCTTTTCTGCCTGCTCTTTCTCCCAGTGTGGGAGGCCTCCCATAGGCCTTGCTGCAGAGTGCCATTTACCAGCAGCACCCCCTCCACCTGTGGGTACTTCAGCTGGCATGGCCTCCGTCTCACTAATTCAGTGCTGCAGACACCCCTGCCTAGAGTCTAGGGTTGGAGGGCCTGTCCTGGAAATGGATCTGCTTGGAAGGAAGAGCCAGTACTTTGCCTTATAAAAAGGTCTCGGTAGTGCTCTCCCTGGGGATCTGAGGGCTGAAGGGCTCACTCTGCCAGCCCAAGTCTGGGGACCCTCTGGCTCCTGGGAAGGAACCTCTCCATTTAACCCCAGCACCTTGGCTGCGGGTGGGAGGGCAAGCACAGGCCTTCCTGAGGCTGCAGTCATCTGCTGCTGAAGGCAGGCATTATTCACAGCTGACTCCTGGCTCACCCTGTATTCCCCAGACTCTGGGCTGGTACAGCCTAATTTGTTTGCCTGATTTTTCTCTAGTCGGGGAAGCAGGCTGTGAGGACCTCCTCTGGGGTATGTGATTGTTGACCCTCAGCGCCCTCCCACCCTGTCCATTGGAGCCAGGCTAGGACCACACAGCCCAGGCACCTACATGAGCCTATTCTGTAAAATGGGGACATATCCACCTGGGAGAAAGTATTCTTATAAGAATTCAAGATAACATGCCCTAAAGGACCTGGCATCTTGCCTGGCATATTGTTAATAGTCTGGAAATTATCGTTGTTACTATTCTCACCATCAATGTGGCAAGAAATGCCTTGCTTCCAAGGACACACACCAAACTGCCTATGGGTTTCATGCTAGAGAGGGGTGCAGCTGGCATGCTGGGCTTGCTGTGAGCCTCTTATGCAGGGAAGAGGGGGGGCACCCTTGGGAAAACCATCTCCTTTGCCTGAGTGGGACACTGTAGAGGTCCTGCCTCCCTCCAGTGATGAAAAGAGCTTTAGATGCTGAGACCAACCTGGGTTCACCTCCCAGCCCCAGCACTCAGCAGCTGTATGGTCTTAGCCAAGTGGCTGCCCATTTCTGAACCCCAGGGTTCTTTGTAGACTAGGGGTGATGATATCATTTCTAGGGTGGTTGTGAGGATTACACAGGGCACTGGTGGGGCTTCAGGCAATGTTCCATACTCCGCA